ATTTCAGAAAGACTGTTTATATCATATATTTGTTACTATAAGTAAATGACTTTTACTTTGCTACATATTTTTGTTTTCCAGGAAATGTCTCTGTCCAAACCAATTGTAACTATACTAGTAGTAACAGTCACAGTGGAGAGTTTACTTCCCCTTACTACCCATCAAACTATGGAAACAATCAGTATTGTTACTGGTTACTCACCTCCACTTCAAAAATAAACCTCCAGTTTGTACACTTTGATTTAGAAAATTCTTATGATTTTCTTACTGTATACAACGGCAATGGCCCAAACACAAACTCTACATTAGATCGATTTACTGGAAATGAACTGCCAACTATTAATTCAAGCTCCTCCAACCAGCTGTATATTGTTTTTGAGTCTGATGGATCGATATCGAAGACGGGGTTTCGGGTTAGATATGAAGGTAAGCGTTAACTAAACTGTTTAAAACCAATACTGTACAGTATAACTGATATTTTTGCAGTACAGCTGTGTCAATGAAAAACGTTTTGGGTAATRACACWTTAGCTTCGAACACTCACTCACTTAAGGTCAGAGCTTTGAGCTGTGTAAACGAGCCATCTAAGAAATTTTCTCTCATTCAATTTGAAGCCAGACAAAAAWACGGATTTGCTTCTATAGACAGTACTGGTGATGCTATTTTATCTCTTGTGCGTTGAGTAACTCTTGTATTTACTAAACTTCCGTATCTTTACGTCATGTTTCCATTTTTTGTATGTTCGTATTATAGTATAAATGACGCAAGGTAATCCTTTTTATCGTAAAGCCTTCACTCCTCGACCCACAGCAACAACAGAGTCCCCAAAAGAGAAACCAAAGYTTCAATCCTTGATTCCAGTTTTTGTCAAAGTTTCATACCTAAAAATCCCACAAAATCACTTAATTACTTAATTGCTTGACTTAACCAATACTGTACTATATAACTAACATAAAGTAATATTTGTGCTATGCAGCTGGGCCTACTCAGCCTTCAACAACAGCCCCGCCATGGTCAACAGCCCGGCCTTGGTCAACAGCAGGGCCTTGATCAACAGCCCGGCAAGAACAAATGGAATGGGAACACAGAGGCTAAAGTGTAGTAAAATAGATATTTAGTTCATCTAAGTAGACAGCCTGAAAAATGAAAAGTGTTCTCATTAAATAAAAGCAGATCTGACAAATCTATACCTGCTATATTGGTTTGCAGAAATCAGTAGTCATCCCATAACTATCGATCCAATATTTCTCCACGTAACGTAACGTTGAAAAAGTTTTTATTTTCAAAAACATTTAGACCTTTTTTCGTGCTCTCTTGCAAATATCCCMGCGTGCTTCATTTCACAGATAAACACACTGCACAATCCATCCTTAATTGTTTAAATATATCGTGAACATAAAAATAAGTCACGTATATATKTGACAGTTTCCTGTACCTTAATATGAAAATTATGCCCAAGTATGGAAAGAATTTTGCTTGTTCTATATCTAACTTTTTTGATAACGAATCATGAAAAACCAGATGCCCTGCAGTATTTCGACTTAAATTCAAGTCATTGTTTCAAGCTACTGGGCCAACGACCMCGTGGGGAAGGGGCCCGGGACTTCCCTATAAAGCATGGTAGGTATGCTTCACGGACCTTTTAGGGTCGAAAAAAAACCCTCGCGTACCTTTTAGGGTCCTGAGCTGACTCCGTAACAATTTGGATCATTTTTTCAACAACAGGACAAAAAATTGAAGAMGTTTTAATAAAGAAATAGATTTTATCAACCTCAACATCGACATTGATTTTCTACAGTTTGTTAAACTTGATCTTTTCTCTTGTTAAAGACGTCAAAAATGCTTGTACCTTTTAGGGTCTGTAATCGATACCACTAGAATTAATTTATGCGTACCTTTTAGGGTCACTTTCAATCCGTCGGTCGAGCATACCTACCATAACAGAGTCTAAATACCATGTGAGTTTCCAGCAGAGCGCAAATCGTTGATTAAATATTTCAGATTATCTTAATAATGAGTTTAGAAGAGCTRTCAGAGCTGCACTAAAACGATAATGTTGAGTATATTTGTGAGAAGGAATAAARGTTTGAAAATGTGGATAACCCACACTACTAAGTTACTATGAAAGAAATGTCAATGATWACCGATAACATACGCTGAAAGCTATTTCTTCTAAAATGAATTACTTCTAATTACTTCTAATTACGTCTAGTGGTAATTTCAACCGTCCCTTTCAGATGATGGAATTATTCATAGCTTTCGGCACCCTAAGGCGTCCATACTTGTATTAGGTCTATGAAATATGACATCGTAKTTAGCATGTCTCGTCATAACATGGTAAACAGTAACTATTTGTTGTTAGTCTGATCCTTTCTTATTTTATTTGATGTTAGAACTTTTTGCATTGACGGTATTTTCGAAGTCTTTAACAAATAGCTTTCGCCGAGACTTCAAAAAATCTTGTAACAGCCATAAACTTTACAAATGTAAATCACTCCAACATAATGATTTTCGTACGTACAGTGCACTACAATAAAAAGCGCGATGATTATTAAACAATGTTTTGCTAGTCTTACCAAATAACACGACCTTACACTCTGAGTCGTTATGCAATGTGAGAATATGTACAAAATATACTCCTGGGCAAAACGAGAAAAGTGGATTACACGCAAAAATGATTCTAACCCATTGCAGTGAACTTAAAAATTCAAAACAAGKKCAAGTAATTTCATYGCTATAATTGGATGCAGGTGTAGGATCTAAAGACATTTTATCTGTTGAATTTTCTTATTTGCATTTTTCTATAATTTTAATGATATGTCAAAGATAGACCTTGCGCCGTGAGCTCCATGAAACAAAACCAGACGCTCATAGCTGCAATGCAAATACAMAAGCTCTAACTGACTTTCCTTGGTCAAGTGCWACAGGACTAGATTCAAGCAGATCTCTAATTTGAGCTTAGAGCGACCATGTTTTTTTTGCTCAGATTATCAGCCCTTGTCATGTTTCTCCTGAATGTCGCAGGAAAATGTTTTTGCCATTCGGCTTACCCTTCAGGATACGAAAGRRAAAAGGGTCTACTCTTTGACTTTTATCCTRCTCAAAAGCTTACCCTTCCAAAGGGAGCAATGAASAAGACCAATTATGTTAAAGATAACATGGAATGTGTGTTCGCTTGCATGGGTGTTCATTGGTGCCGTTCAATCAATTTCAAAATCGCTGCTCAAACTAGCGGTCTCCACGCCTGTCAGCTGATTTCATCTGAACAGTTTGCTGGGAAACAGTACATGMGTCAAAATAAGACGTTCAACCATTATAGTGTGAAGGTGAGCAAGAAGATTTAAAACCAAGTATTTTAAACTATAGTAACTCGAGTCTATCTCTGACTCTTTATCTAATGCCCCTAATTTTAATAAGTAAAATAAAATACTTTAAGTACAAAAAAAGTATTTATAGTCTTTGTTACTCTGAAATGATAATATGCGATGTTCAAGTAAGATGATAAAAAAACACTAAGAAAACTTTTTAATGTTACTAATAACTAATTTTTCTCGAAAGCTTTACKAGGGTACGAGTGTATGGATAGTGGAGTGAGAGTCTCAATGACGTTAAGCGGTAGATACTAGTCGTAATATGTGTAATAAATATCATAATATTTGATATATCTTTAAGTTGGATTATAAAAGATCTTTGAAATTTCATTATGTGTAAGAGTTTAAACTCAAATTACTGATCTTTACGCAACAAAACACCAGGACTTTTAGGAAAACTAGTTTCATTTTATAACCTCTTCAATTCCTAAATTTTGTACCAGATACACTTACACATAATGAAATATCATAATAAATGTCCCACAAATCAAGGAAGTATCTTGGGGCCATTGCTTTTCAGACTGTTTATTAACGACATATTATGTAACTGATGATGTAAAGTCATCACGTATTTGATGAGAGTATATCATGAAGACGCAACCGTTACAATGTAATTCTAAGTAGACATGMATACACAGGCAGACAATTTGGAAAGGRAAAAATCTTACAAGAACAGTTATATTTAGAAGAACAGACCCCGTCTGCTCCTCCTGATACTGGCGTTCATTCGGCGTAAATGACCTACATATCACCCTGTCTCGTGACTTACAGAACATTCATAATTGGTGCTCAGATCAGTTAGTAAAAAAAAGCAAATGCATGCTTGTAACGAACCGAATGAAAGCTGAAAATCTTACTTCTTCTGAACTTGAGATACATCTTTGGAAATCTTATTTGGAAAATCGCACACCGTCTCTGTCGCTAATGAAAGGTCTGAAAAGTTAATCGTAATATATCTTGAAATTGTAGAAATTGCCAGTATATTAGTTTTCTAGATTCAACTTTTAAATTTTTGTGCTTCAAGATTGTTTTTGTGGCTTTGATTATACTTGTTATTTTCCTGACTTTTTTTCTGAAAACATGTCATGATAATCTTGTTAATAACTTTAATCTTTTAAATATCAAATTGATATATTGGTATTGGATACAAACTTTTACAATAATACCTATAACTGATCGTAACTGACCTATAACTTAACCGTATTGTGTAGAACGTAACAGCAACCGTGATGTAGGCCTTATACTGTTAACAACCTAAAGATGATATTTATGAGTTCTCAAAATGAGATTTCTTACGCAATAGATGTTTTTTTCAAACTCAATTTCAATTCAAAATGACTTTGAACAATATGATTGCAGGAATATTCGGTAAAAATAATTAAATATTTACAATAAGTGATTTGAATTATTAGTGAAAAAAAGTGTACAACAAGCAGAGCTTTKCAAAACTTAATTGAAAAAAGGAGCAGGCCTGAGTTGGTCGACATAATTGTCTCACTATAATTGAACTCAACTTTTCGGTATTGAAATCAATTACAATCGTCTTTGTATTTCGTTTTATACACAGTTACTTCAGCATTCATTTTAGGATAGTCTATGAGAGTAACTAGTTTTTTACCACACTTGTGTAATTTCTCGCGCGCTGATTGGCTGATTAGAGTGTGTCAATAAGAGGACATGCACATTTTGCTGACACCATCACGTCTCGCGCGAGTGCTCAACTGAAAGAAAAGAATGATTTTCGCAAGTATTTCAACTAAACATGTGGCAAAAAAGCAAATTGCACACGGTTTATAGTTGTATGTCCTCTTATTGAAACACTCTTGGCGCCATAAAATGTTCAAAAATTTTGTAGTGACCGACTCGCTGCGCTCGTGGGTATTGTGTATTGTGTTTTACCTTACATTTCTTTGAAGTTTCAGGCAGTTTCCTTCAATTTTGAGAAGGATTTATGCCTGCTGTTCTCCAGCGTAACAAGGCTCGCTTCAAAAAACTGGGGCTCGTGCATAGCCATAGCTTATTTAGTTAATGAAAAACCAAACGCTAAATTGAAATAGCTTATGACGCATTTTGATATGTGATACATCTATCGTTCTGAAAAATACTTGTGTAAAAATGGCTTTAAGAGTATTGTATGCTGTGGTTTTGATTATTCTTATGAAGGCTATCGAAGTAACAGCTATTGTTGAAGAGCCGTACCATGCCAGGGTTTCGAAGAGCAAAGTCCGAAATATTTTTTTAAAGCTTTTTTGCCTTTTCTAATGACCGATAAACCTATATATTCTTTAAAAAAATGCCGAATTTGTACTTTTTTCACCCTTTTCATTTATAACATATCAAAAGATCAAATCTAAGCAAATGTCATCCGATGTATGGCAATAAGTTTGATATGTTGGTTGCTGGTATCAGAGATAAAATATGTATCTATAAATCATCGTCATTTGTAAGGCACAATGTAAGGCATTGAACATTTGATTTTCAATTTATTTGTTAGAATCCATGCCAAGAAGCWCCCTGTCGTAATGGCGGAAAGTGTATCTTTCAAGAAAACAGGCAACATTATAACTGCGAGTGCAATGAGCCATTTGAGGGCGAGCTCTGCGAGGAAGGTATGCCATAAAAGTCTTTCATAACTAAGCTCGGATCGGAAAATTCGTATTTTGAGTTCGAATTCTTTTGTTAAAAATAATTTTCAAAGTCCATTATTGAGATATAACAACACTTTACAACTTCATAACTTTATAACTTTGCATTGACATATATTCAGAATTTATTTACCTCCATTTAGTCATCGACGTTTTTGAAAGCCTTGAAATTAARCAATTTTCGTACCTGTATACTTCTTGTAAGTCTTCGTGGTTGAAACGGTCCCTGTTTTGTAATTTGCCGTGCTTCRAAGACATAATTCAGTCATAATTCAGGATTTAACCTGAGTTTTAAAATTAGAAAACTCTACTTGGACCCTCGTACTTGACTAAGTCTACTTGCTTGAAACTGCAGATTCTGCTTGATATTCTTTGCGCTTGAATCGGAACTTTGCATAACATTAACTCCTAGTGATACTTTAAGTAAATCGCTTCAATTTTTAAAATCAAATTTAGAAGCGTAGCGTCCTATTTATTCAAAAACAGGCAAGTGTGTTCTCAAAAAATTCCTAAATTTTAATCATTATATTATAGTGACAATTGATTTAGCACAGACATGATATAAGAGGAAAATACGAATTCTAAGGCTTTTTTTCTTCAAAGGTTTATCGTTTATATGCAAGGGATCCCGAGAACAATCCGTACATCAGCGAGTATTGTCATCATCCAGTATTGTTGATATTTTTGAAAAACGTTGGACATTTTGGACATTCGAAATGAGAAATTGCGAAAACTTGATGAAGGCATAATTCATTGTGCAAAAATTTAACGTTTACTTGCAATAGAATGTATGGATTAATTTTGAAGATGTGTTTTTCAGACAAAATCAAAACTTGTACTCACTCTGCTGCTCGGACATTAAACCCTGACGGAAAATTTCTTTTCAATATCAGGTATTCGTCTGGTTGGATCATCTAACAAGTACGAGGGCCGTATTGAAGTCTTTTACAATGGCAMGTGGGGTACTGTYTGCGACGAYYACTGGCCAASCAATTCCGCTATTGTTGCTTGTMGRCAGCTCGGATTCAATGGTGTCCAGTCCTACTTGACCAGTGTATTTGGCCAGGGAACTGATCCCATATGGCTTGATAATGTCATCTGTAACGGTAATGAAGCGAGGATACAGGAATGTAGACACAGACCATGGGGAAAGCATGATTGTAATCACAAGGAAGATGTAGGAATCAAATGCTCTGCACCATGAATTCAAAGTGAACAACCGCTGCTTTATTTGATAGCAGATTCTCATGCGTAAAGATCGCTTACCAAACACAAAAGAAAGCACAAAAAATGTCGTTATTATAATATAGCCTAGAAAATTTACATTTTCTCCGAGTTGAGACCCTGTATTCCCATAAGACCTAAGGTRTGAGCCTTCTGGGAATAGAGTTAGCCTCAACTTGGGGAGAATGTAAATTGTTAGGGTTATTGTATCTACAACACTTTCTCGTGCTTTCTTTTGTGTTTCTAAGGTCTTTGCGTAAGAGAATCTTCCGTCAAATAAAACAGTGGTTATTCGCTTTCAATTCGAAAATGGAGTATTAAAACAGTAGATTCTCCACCAAGGAGATTCTCCACCAAGTAGATTAAGCTCATTTCCAGAAAAAAATATTCAATTTAGAAGAAAATTAGCCTCGGAATTTCAATGATTGTTCTAGTAGGTTACGGGTATTCACTGAAGTTCAAAACTGCTTTCTTTGTATTGTAGTTTCAAAAGCATACATTTTTAATGACAATGTTGACAAATATTCARTCTTAAGTCACTACTCGTGCAAACCGAGCTTGATATCCATATAATAACAGCTATACACAAAGCTAGGTATTTGTGAGGTTTTGTAGCGGTTTTTCGAAGTTCAATAACTTTGTATTATTTAATTTTCTGTGAAGTTTCACGCCATTTGCTTCAWTATATCGAGTGATATGTAGACAAATACCTAGCTTGTGATACCCTTGCACATAATGTAAATATCAATACGTAGAATAATTCGTAGACCAACTCCACTGCATGGCAAAGTTATTTCAAACTTTCAAATCATTGAAAATAGAATGCTATRTAAATAAAAAGGAATATTCTAAACGTGTAACAAATTGCTCATTCACAATCACTTCTTAATCACGTCTTTAATGGTAGATTTTCTTGAGTCACTGAAAGCATGGAGGTATTGGTATATCACTTGTGCAAAAGCGAAAGTGCTTCATCTGCTACCTTCTTTGAATCGCCCTGTCGCGGTTGGCGACCATTCACTTGCGCGAGAGAGTGCATGTAGCTTTGTATTCGCCTATTGACCTTAATTTCGGGTATCTATACACTTAATATAAACTTGGCATGGGATCCATTTTAATCGTTTTCTGTGTCAATTACAGACATAAACATTTTCATTTTTTTTTCACCTTCGTTAAAAGGTGAATGAGGAGAATGCGTAACCGTTTCCACTTGTCGCTATAGGCAAATATTTTGATACAGACTAAGTCCCTGTTTTCATGAGACAGGGTTCCCCTGGGGGTAGACTCAAACTCTTTTGTTTTCAATCCCGCAGGGAAAAGAAAACAAAGGAGTTAGCCCTACCACGTCTCTTACATCTCATGTAAACTGGGACTTAATGTTGATCATAATTACAATAATAAAAGCTTTTATGGCGCTTGTCCAAGTAAATAAATTACATTTAATAAATTTATGAAGAAAAGGCAACTTGAATAGGCCGGTTTCTAGATTTAATTTGAAAGTGGAATTGTCACTTTATTTTGTTATTGCAGAAGAATGCAAGGTGTTCAACGTTTGCTATTTCTTATTTTTTAAATAATTGCGTAATTAGATGATCTAGAACCTTTTTCTTTTTTCAAACTTTGAAACGATGCATGGACTTATTATTTGTTGTTAATCATATAGTATCGGAAAACAAAGCCACGGGAGAAATTGATAGAAACAAAAGATTGCTCTCGTTACATTAATCTTTGGCATGGTACTGGAATACTTGCATTTGTACATGTCAACCGATTTCTCTTCAGTAATAATTTGATGAAATTCTAACTTGTATCTTGTATAAATGATATATATTTATACTTATAGGTTTGATGGTATATAAAAGTTATTGTTATTGACATAAAACGGCTGAACAGCTTCTAATAAATATAAGTGTTGGAAGAGTTTGAT